GGCTGAGATAGGACACTCAGGGGGGGAGTTAGGACACTCAGGCAGAGTTAGGGCACTAGGACATCATGGACACAGTGCAGGTTATGTATCATCAGCGCAGGTTATGTATTGTCAGTGCAGGTTATGTATCGTCAGTGCAGGTTATGTATCGTCAGCGCAGGTTATGTATCGTCAGTGCAGGTTATGTATCGTCAGTGCAGGTTATGTATCGTCAGCACAGGTTATGTATTGTCAGTGCAGGTTATGTATCGTCAGCACAGGTTATGTATCGTCAGTGCAGGTTATGTATCGTCAGTGCAGGTTATGTATTGTCAGCGCAGGTTATATATTGTTAGCACAGGTTATATATCGTCAGAGCAGGTTATATATTGTTAGCGCAGGTTATGTATTGTTAGCGCAGGTTATATATTGTTAGCGCAGGTTATATATCGTCAGCGTAGGTTATATATTGTTAGCGCAGGTTATGTATTGTTAGCGCAGGTTATATACTGTTAGCGCAGGTTATATATCGTCAGCGCAGGTTATATATTGTTAGTGCAGGTTATGTATTGTTAGCGCAGGTTATATATTGTTAGCGCAGGTTATATATTGTTAGCGCAGGTTATATATTGTCAGCGCAGGTTATATATTGTCAGCGCAGGTTATATATTGTTAGCGCAGGTTATATATCGTCAGCGCAGGTTATATATTGTTAGCGCAGGTTATATATCGTCAGCGCAGGTTATATATTGTTAGCGCAGGTTATATATCGTCAGCGCAGGTTATGTATTGTTAGCGCAGGTTATGTATTGTTAGTGCAGGTTATGTATTGTTAGCGCAGGTTATGTATTGTTAGCGCAGGTTATGTATTGTCAGTGACTAGGCTTACACTTGACACTTACAAGATAGTATTGTACCTGCCTGGAAAACTCTTGTCAACAAGTTTATAACATTTATCTCCCATCTTACATCTTCACAACATAAAAGAAACAACCGAGCAGTAATTCTGCTGGAGTGCAAAACAGGGCGGTAGTACATTATACCATCCTGCACCTCTCTTACTATCCTGCATCCTTGTTACCATCCTGCATCCCTGTTATTATCCTGCATCCCTGTTACTATCCTGTACCTCTGTTACTATCCTGTACCTCTGTTACTATCCTGTACCTCTGTTACTATCCTGTACTTCTGTTACTATCCTGTACTTCTGTTACTATCCTGTACCTCTGTTACTATCCTGTACTTCTGTTACTATCCTGTACCTCTGTTACTATCCTGTACCTCTGTTACTATCCTGTACCTCTGTTACTATCCTGTACCTCTGTTACTATCCTGTACCTCTGTTACTATCCTGTACCTCTGTTACTATCCTGTACCTCTGTTACTATCCTGCATCCCGGTTACTATCCTGTACCTCTGTTACTATCCTGCATCCCTGTTACTATCCTGTACCTCTGTTACTATCCTGCATCCCTGTTACTATCCTGTACCTCTGTTACTATCCTGTACCTCTGTTACTATCCTGTACTTCTGTTACTATCCTGTACCTCTGTTACTATCCTGTACCTCTGTTACTATCCTGCATCCCTGTTACTATCCTGTACCTCTGTTACTATCCTGTACCTCTGTTACTATCCTGTACCTCTGTTACTATCCTGTACCTCTGTTACTATCCTGTACCTCTGTTACTATCCTGTACCTCTGTTACTATCCTGTACCTCTGTTACTATCCTGCATCCCTGTTACTATCCTGTACCTCTGTTACTATCCTGCATCCCTGTTACTATCCTGTACCTCTGTTACTATCCTGCATCCCTGTTACTATCTTGTACCTCTGTTACTATCCTGTACCTCTGTTACTATCCTGCATCCCTGTTACTATCTTGTACCTCTGTTACTATCCTGTACCTCTGTTACTATCCTGTACCTCTGTTACTATCCTGCATCCCTGTTACTATCCTGTACCTCTGTTACTATCCTGTACCTCTGTTACTATCCTGTACCTCTGTTACTATCCTGTACCTCTGTTACTATCCTGTACCTCTGTTACTATCCTGTACCTCTGTTACTATCCTGTACCCTTTCTGTTACTATCCTGTACCTCTGTTACTATCCTGTACCTCTGTTACTATCCTGTACCTCTGTTACTATCCTGTACCTCTGTTACTATCCTGTACCTCTGTTACTATCCTGTACCTCTGTTACTATCCTGTACCTCTGTTACTATCCTGTACCTCTGTTACTATCCTGTACCTCTGTTACTATCCTGTACCTCTGTTACTATCCTGTACCTCTGTTACTATCCTGTACCTCTGTTACTATCCTGTACCTCTGTTACTATCCTGTACCTCTGTTACTATCCTGTACCTCTGTTACTATCCTGTACCTCTGTTACTATCCTGTACCTGTGTTACTATCCTGTACCTCTGTTACTATCCTGTACCTCTGTTACTATCCTGTACCTCTGTTACTATCCTGTACCTGTGTTACTATCCTGTACCTCTGTTACTATCCTGTACCTCTGTTACTATCCTGTACCTCTGTTACTATCCTGTACCTCTGTTACTATCCTGTACCTCTGTTACTATCCTGTACCTCTGTTACTATCCTGTACCTCTGTTACTATCCTGTACCTCTGTTACTATCCTGTACCTCTGTTACTATCCTGTACCTCTGTTACTATCCTGTACCTCTGTTACTATCCTGTACCTTGTTACATCGTCTTGTTACTATCCTGTACCTCTGTTACTATCCTGTACCTCTGTTACTATCCTGTACCTCTGTTACTCAGTAAAATCTTCCCTGACTTACTGTCGTAATAAGGTCGACCGACAGCTACAAAGGTTAATTATTTGTAGTTCTACATCACTCTACCTGGTGGGAGACGGTTCATGTGTTAACACGTAAACGGTCCAAACGTATATATACGTTTTTTCTACATTTGAAAGTATGTAAAAAAAGTAGATCATCTTTTTGTTTTTTTACATTTGAAAATGTGTAAAAAACACTTTGATCATTTTTTTTTTGTTATATTTGAAAATATGTAAAAAAAACGTATATACAGTGGACCTCCGGTTAACAATATTGTTTCACTCCAGAAGTATGTTCAGGTGCCAGTACTGACCGAATTTGTTCCCATAAGGAATATTGTGAATTAGATTAGTCCATTTCAGACCCCCAAACATACACGTACAAACTCACTTACATAAATACACTTACATAATTGGTCGCATTCGGAGGCGATCGTTATGCGGGGGTCCACTGTACTTTTGTAGCACTACACATGTGAACGTAGATCTGCTTGGACCGTTTACGGGTTAATCTTTCACTATCACCCACGCAGATCTACATCAATGACGACAGTGTCGATCCTGTAGATTTATATTTTGAGCGCAGTTCCCTTACATATGTTGTCAGTGGTAAACTTTGGCCTAGACATGAGAACTGCAGTGTTGGTGGTGAGTAGGCCTGCCTAACATGGTCCAGTAGACTTACTGCAGTGTTGGTGGTGAGTAGGCCTGCCTAACATGGTCCAGTAGACTTACTGCAGTGTTGGTGGTGAGTAGGCCTGCCTAACATGGTCCAGTAGACTTACTACAGTGTTGGTGGTGAGTAGGCCTGCCTAACATGGTCCAGTAGACTTACTGCAGTGTTGGTGGTGAGTAGGCCTGCCTAACATGGTCCAGTAGACTTACTACAGTGTTGGTGGTGAGTAGGCCTGCCTAACATGGTCCAGTAGACTTACTGCAGTGTTGGTGGTGAGTAGGCCTGCCTAACATGGTCCAGTAGACTTACTGCAGTGTTGGTGGTGAGTAGGCCTGCCTAACATGGTCCAGTAGACTTATTGCAGTGTTGGTGGTGAATAGGCCTGCCTAACATGGTCCAGTAGACTTACTGCAGTGATGGTGGTGAGTAGGCCTGCCTAACATGGTAACTACAACACCAGGAGCAAAGGGCCTAGTAACACCTTCTCGTGTATAAATTACTAAATCTTTCTTTCAACACACTGGCTGTATCCCACCAAGGCGGGGTGGCCCAAAAGAAAAAAACCAAAGTTTCCCCTTTCAAATTTAGTAATATATACAGGAGAAGGGATTACTAGCCCCTTGCTCCCGGCATTTTAGTTGCCTCTTACAACATGCATGGCTTACAGAGGAAGAATTCTGTTCCACTTCCCTATGGAGATAAGAGGAAATAAACAAGAACAAGAAGTAGAAAGAAAATAGAAGAAAACCCAGAGGGGCGTGTATATATATGCTTGTACATGTATGTGTAGTGTGACCTAAGTGTAAGTAGAAGTAGCAAGACGTACCTGAAATTTTGCATGTTTATGAGACAGAAAAAAGGACACCAGCAATCCTACCATCATGTAAAACAATTACAGGCTTTCGTTTTACACTCACTTGGCAGGACAGTAGTACCTCCCTGGGCGGTTGCTGTCTACCAACATACTACCACAGGAAAGTAGTACCTCCCTGGGTGGTTGCTGTCTACCATCCTACTACCACAGGACGGTAGTACCTCCCTGGGTGGTTGCTGTCTACCATCCTACTACCACAGGAAAGTAGTACCTCCCTGGGTGGTTGCTGTCTACCATCATACTACCACAGGAAAGTAGTACCTCCCTGGGTGGTTGCTGTCTACCATCCTACTACCACAGGAAAGTAGTACCTCCCTGGGTGGTTGCTGTCTACCAACCTACTACCACAGGACGGTAGTACCTCCCTGGGCGGTTGCTGTCTACCAACCTACTACCACAGGAAAGTAGTACCTCCCTGGGTGGTTGCTGTCTACCAACCTACTACCACAGGACGGTAGTACCTCCCTGGGCGGTTGCTGTCTACCAACCTACTACCTAGGAAATTACTAAATGTAAACAAAAAAAAAATCGTCTGGAAATGTAACGGACGAAAGAAGAAATTTGCAGCCACACATTCACATAACAAAAATACGAATATTTTAATAATAAAGTCTCGAGCACACAGTGACGCACAAACAAGAACGTTACATTAACAAGTTACCTTAAGACTTGGTTCCTTGGCCAGAAAAGAAAGTAATTATATTTTAATACATTAAATACATAAAATATCACTTAGAAGTTAAGAGGTTGATGTTTGTGTCCAGAGATCAATATTTACCACTGTTGGAATACAAGATCCCACCTTATGTACCACTGTAGTAAAGATCAATATTTACCACTGTTGGCATACAAGATCCCACCTTATGTACCACTGTAGTAAAGATCAATATTTACCACTGTTGGCATACAAGATCCCACCTTATGTACCCTGTAGTAAAGGTCAATATTTACCACTGTTGGCATACAAGATCCCACCTTATGTACCACTGTAGTAAAGATCAATATTTACCACTGTTGGCATACAAGATCCCACCTTATGTACCACTGTAGTAAAGATCAATATTTACCACTGTTGGCATACAAGATCCCACCTTATGTACCACTGTTAATAATAAGCTTTGCCACTGTTGGAATATTACAAGATCCCATCTTAACTTACCACTGTTAATAATAAGCTTTACCACTGTTGGAATACAACAAGACCCCACCTTAATGTACCACTGTAAATAACAAATTTAACCACTGTGGAATATAAGATCCCACCTTAATGTACCACTGTTAATAACAAATTTAACCACTGTGGAATATAACAAGATCCCACCTTAACTTACCACTGTAAATAACAAATTTAACCACTGTGGAATATAACAAGATCCCACCTTAACTTACCACTGTAAATAACAAATTTAACCACTGTGGAATATAAGATCCCACCTTAACTTACAACCAACCATGGACTATATTATACTGTAAATAAAACTGTCTGACTCACAAAAATTACAATAACATGACTGAAAACAAACTATGAAACAGATGGGGTTTGAAACCATGGTCGGTGAGCCAGCTGGCCCAGTTGTTAACACACTGGCCTGTGAGTTTCATGACTCGCTTACCACGGGTTCAAACCTCACCCGTTCCGTGGTTCATAAATGACTGGTTCGCAATGAACAACCGAGTGAAATGTCATCTAGTTGTAATTCACTCTGTGAGTTACTTGATAATTGTTCCAGCCACAGTACTGTCACTTCTTTCCAGGAAATTGTTCCAGCCACAGTACTGTCACTTCTTTCCAGGAAATTGTTCCAGCCACAGTACTGTCACTTGTTTCCAGGAAATTGTTCCAGCCACAGTACTGTCACTTCTTTCCAGGAAATTGTTCCAGCCACAGTACTGTCACTTGTTTCCAGGAAATTGTTCCAGCCACAGTACTGTCACTTCTTTCCAGGAAATTGTTCCAGCCACAGTACTGTCACTTCTTTCCAGGAAATTGTTCCAGCCACAGTACTGTCACTTGTTTCCAGGAAATTGTTCCAGCCACAGTACTGTCACTTGTTTCCAGGAAATTGTTCCAGCCACAGTACTGTCACTTCTTTCCAGGAAATTGTTCCAGCCACAGTACTGTCACTTCTTTCCAGGAAATTGTTCCAGCCACAGTACTGTCACTTGTTTCCAGGAAATTGTTCCAGCCACAGTACTGTCACTTCTTTCCAGGAAATTGTTCCAGCCACAGTACTGTCACTTGTTTCCAGGAAATTGTTCCAGCCACAGTACTGTCACTTGTTTCCAGGAAATTGTTCCAGCCACAGTACTGTCACTTGTTTCCAGGAAATTGTTCCAGCCACAGTACTGTCACTTGTTTCCAGGAAATTGTTCCAGCCACAGTACTGTCACTTGTTTCCAGGAAATTGTTCCAGCCACAGTACTGTCACTTGTTTCCAGGAAATTGTTCCAGCCACAGTACTGTCACTTATTTCCAGAAAACTGTATCATATAGCCACAGGAAACACTACCTAATAATAATAAATTTTCAGTTTTTGAGAGCACATGGCGTGTGTTTAAGTCAATTATGGAAAGCAGTGCCGTACCTAAGAAAGTAAGGCTTAATAACCTTCGAACAAGCAGAAAATTTAGACTGGTAAGTTAGTAGTTACTACCGGTGTGGTGAGCTGTTGAACCAGTAGTTAACCATCCTTCATGTGTGTGCTTAGACACTACAGTCTTCCTGAGCCACTTCCCATGATGCCAGTATTGCTGGCACCATAGGAAGAGTGCCAGCAATGATGGCACCATGGGAAGGGGATTGTGTCAGGTGAATTTATCAAGACAGATAAAGCAACAAAAAGCTGGCACATCATTCTCAGCAGGAAGACTGTGTGATAGTACATGAATAGTGGTAACAGACTGGAGACTATCAGTGAGAAAGTGAAGATATGATCAACCAGTGGCTGGCACCTCAACAGTCATCATAGCCAAAAAAAAAAAAAAAAAACATAAGACACAGAAGGGTAACAGTTTTTTTCTGGTGTACCTTCAAGTCCGTTCCTTCGCCAAACTTGACTACGTTGAAGGAGGAGTTGACGTGCACCTTAATGCTCTTCTCTGAGCGGTCGGGTGACCCCAGGCGTGGTCCTGATCCTCCCCCTCCTCCACCTCCACCATTTTCCTGCAAAAAGTAAATTCATGAGCAACATTCCTATATCTAAAGATAAACATACATATAACAATACAGTAGAGCCCCTGTATATGCAGATTCAGTTTCCACATTTTCAGTTATCTGCAGTTTACTGGGGCCTGAAAGTAAGTCTTAATTTTGCTTAATTTTTGGGCATCCACAGTAGGTCTTGGAAGCTATCCCCTGCAGATACATGGGGACAACTGTACTGTGACCAGCCGGGGATCCACCCCGACACACTTAACTGGCCTCCTAGGAAACTAGATAAATTTCTCAACACCTTAGTCCACTACACCACCAGCATGGTGGTCACTACACCACCAGCATGGTGGTCTAGTGGACCATGATGCTACACCCCCAGCATGGTGGTGGTGTAGTTGATTATGGTGCTACACTACCAGCATGTAGTGGATTATGGTGCTACACTACCAGCATGTAGTGGATTATGGTGCTACACTACCAGCATGGTGGTGGTGTAGTTGATTATGGTGCTACACTACCAGCATGTAGTGGATTATGGTGCTACACTACCAGCATGTAGTGGATTATGGTGCTACACTACCAGCATGTAGTGGATTATGGTGCTACACTACCAGCATGTAGTGGATTATGGTGCTACACTACCAGCATGTAGTGGATTATGGTGCTACACTACCAGCATGTAGTGGATTATGGTGCTACACTACCAGCATGTAGTGGATTATGGTGCTACACTACCAGCATGGTGGTGGTGTAGTTGATTATGGTGCTACACTACCAGCATGGTGGTGGTGTAGTGGACCATGATGCTACACCCCCAGCATGGTGGTGTAGTTGATTATGGTGCTACACTACCAGCATGGTGGTGTAGTGGATTATGGTGCTACACTACCAGCATGGTGGTGTAGTGGATTATGGTGCTACACTACCAGCATGGTGGTGTAGTGGATTATGGTGCTACACTACCAGCATGGTGGTGGTGTAGTGGATTATGGTGCTACACTACCAGCATGGTGGTGGTGTAGTGGACCATGGTGCTACACCACCAGCATGGTGGTGGTGTAGTGGATTATGGTGCTACACTACCAGCATGGTGGTGGTGTAGTGGACCATGGTGCTACACTACCAGCATGGTGGTGGTGTAGTGGACCATGATGCTACACCACCAGCATGGTGGTGGTGTAGTGGACCATGATGCTACACCACCAGCATGGTGGTGGTGTAGTGGACCATGATGCTACACCACCAGCATGGTGGTGGTGTAGTGGACCATGATGCTACACCACCAGCATGGTGGTGGTGTAGTGGACCATGGTGCTACACCACCAGCATGGTGGTGTAGTGGACCATGGTGCTACACCACCAGCATGGTGGTGTAGTGGACCATGATGCTACACCACCAGCATGGTGGTGTAGTGGACTAAGGTGTCAATAAATTTACCTAACTTTACACAAATAACTCACACATAGGAGAGAGAGAAGCTTATAACATTGTTTCAGACCCACTTGAACCATTACTAGTCTCACTAATTATTTGTGTACTGTTCCAGTCATGGTATTGTACATTTTTGTTCATTATCTGGCATCCTGGGAGGCTGGTTAAATATCTCGGGTTCGATCCCCAGTTGGTTTCACTCTTATTTCTTTAAAAATCACTCGTTTCCTGGATGTATTAAAACGTATACATAAAAAGTGTTTAACCCGTAAACGGTCCAAGCAGATCTACGTTCACATGTGTAGAGCTACAAAAGTAGATCTACGTTTTTTTTACATATTTTCAAATATAACAAAAAAAAAAGTAGATCAAAGTTTTTTTACACATTTTCAAATGTAAAAAAACAAAAAGAAGATCTACTTTTTTTACATTCAAATGTTGAAAAAACGTATACAGTGGACCCCCGCATAACGATCACCTCCGAATGCGACCAATTATGTAAGTGTATTTATGTAAGTGCGTTTGTACGTGTATGTTTGGGGGTCTGAAATGGACTAATCTAATTCACAATATTCCTTATGGGAACAAATTCGGTCAGTACTGGCACCTGAACATACTTCTGGAGTGAAACAATATCGTTAACCGGGGGTCCACTGTATATACGTTTGGACCGTTTATGGGTTAACCCGAGTCCAGAGAGGATAAACTTACTGTTACAATGTTACTGTTGTCTACTGTTACAATGTTACTGTTGTCTACTGTTACAAAGTTACTGTTGTCTAATTCACAAAATATTCAAAAGAGTCGTCACTTGGTCACTGTTGGACAAATAAATTACTTCCTATAATTGATGCATCGAACTTTATCATCGTCACTGCAGTGAATAAGTCATCAATGTATACCTGGAGAGAGTTCCAGGGGTCAATGCCCCCCATGACCCAGTCTGTGACCAGGCTTGTATACCTGGAGTATACCTGGAGAGTTCCAGGGGTCAATGCCCCCCATGACACAGTCTGTGACCAGGCTTGTATACCTGGAGTATACCTGGAGAGTTCCAGGGGTCAATGCCCCCCATGACCCAGTCTGTGACCAGGCTTGTATACCTGGAGAGTTCCAGAGGTCAATGCCCCCCATGACCCAGTCTGTGACCAGACCTGTATACCTGAAGTTCCAGGGGTCAACACCCCCCATGGCCCGGTCTGTGACCAGGCTTGTATACCTGGAGAGTTCCAGGGGTCAACGCCCCCCACAGCCCGGTCTGTGACCAGGCTTGTAAGGACCCTTATTTTCCAACTCTCTTTATACCTTGTATATTTGCAAAGATAAAGGTTATTTTATTACATTGTTTTGTATACGTAGAGCTGTCAGATCAAGCAGGCTGTGATGGATATGTGGAGCAATGGGCCACCAGCAACAACAGCCTGGTTGACCAGGCTACCACCAGATGAACCTGGCCTATGGCCAGGCTCGGGAGTAGGAAGATTCTTGAAAGTCATCAAAGGTTCCAGACTGCCACAGTGTAGCCAATATGGCAGGTCAGGTTCCAGACTGCTGCAGTATAGCCAATATGGCAGGTCAGGTTTCAGACTGCTGCAGTATAGCCAATATGGCAGGTCAGGTTCCAGACTGCTGCAGTATAGCCAATATGACAGGTCAGGTTCCAGACTGCTGCAGTATGACCAATATGGCAGGTCAGGTTCCAGACTGCTGCAGTATAGCCAATATGGCAGGTCAGGTTCCAGGCTACCACAGTGTAGCCAATATGGCAGGTCAGGTTCCAGACTACCACAGTGTAGCCAATATGGCAGGTCAGGTTCCAGACTGCTGCAGTGTAGCCAATATGGCAGGTCAGGTTCCAGACTGCCACAGTGTAGCCAATATGGCAGGTCAGGTTCCAGACTACCACAGTGTAGCCAATATGGCAGGTCAGGTTCCAGACTACCACAGTGTAGCCAATATGGCAGGTCAGGTTCCAGACTGCTGCAGTGTAGCCAATATGGCAGGTCAGGTTCCAGACTGCCACAGTGTAGCCAATATGGCAGGTCAGGTTCCAGACTACCACAGTGTAGCCAATATGGCAGGTCAGGTTCCAGACTACCACAGTGTAGCCAATATGGCAGGTCAGGTTCCAGACTACCACAGTGTAGCCAATATGGCAGGTCAGGTTCCAGACTGCCACAGTGTAGCCAATATGGCAGGTCAGGTTCCAGACTACCACAGTGTAGCCAATATGGCAGGTCAGGTTCCAGACTGCCACAGTATAGCCAATATGGCAGGTCAGGTTCCAGACTACCACAGTGTAGCCAATATGGCAGGTCAGGTTCCAGACTGCCACAGTGTAGCCAATATGGCAGGTCAGGTTCCAGACTGCCACAGTGTAGCCAATATGGCAGGTCAGGTTCCAGACTACCACAGTGTAGCCAATATGGCAGGTCAGGTTCCAGACTGCCACAGTGTAGCCAATATGGCAGGTCAGGTTCCAGACTACCACAGTGTAGCCAATATGGCAGGTCAGGTTCCAGACTGCCACAGTGTAGCCAATATGGCAGGTCAGGTTCCAGACTACCACAGTGTAGCCAATATGGCAGGTCAGGTTCCAGACTGCCACAGTATAGCCAATATGGCAGGTCAGGTTCCAGACTACCACAGTGTAGCCAATATGGCAGGTCAGGTTCCAGACTGCCACAGTGTAGCCAATATGGCAGGTCAGGTTCCAGACTACCACAGTGTAGCCAATATGGCAGGTCAGGTTCCAGACTACCACAGTGTAGCCAATATGGCAGGTCAGGTTCCAGACTACCACAGTGTAGCCAATATGGCAGGTCAGGTTCCAGACTACCACAGTGTAGCCAATATGGCAGGTCAGGTTCCAGACTACCACAGTGTAGCCAATATGGCAGGTCAGGTTCCAGACTACCACAGTGTAGCCAATATCACCTTAAAGCCAATCATAGTTTGTTTTTTACTCGCCGGTGCATATAAAAGCCTAAAACGTGTTTACAATATCATTTAAGTACACAATAACACTAGGCCTAGAAAAAATTATTCAAAAGTAAAAATACTCAATAAAAAATAGTTTGAAAATTACCAAAACCACCTGAAGAGTAAGACAAATATCAACAATAATATGAATATAGAGGAGGATCCTGCTTATTCAACATCCTCTTTTCAGCGTTCAACATTTTCGCTGACTTTTAACACGTAAACGGTACAAACGTATATATACGTTTTTTCAACATTTGAAATTATGTAAAAAAAGTTGATCTTCTTTTTGTTTTTTTATATTTGAAAATGTGTAAAAAAAACGTAGATCTACTTTTGTAGCGCTACACGTGTGAACGTAGATCTGCTTGGACCGTTTATGGGTTAATAGCGCCACTGTTCGTTATGTTTGGTGTTTTTACTGCTTTTCCGATGTTTTCACAACAGTTGTATAAGGGTGTCCGGTGCCGTACTTTAAGTATTGTATGTACTGTTCTGTGGATTTATTTTACTTTATCTGTTTTTTATGCCTACGTGTATTGAGATCATAATAAAGGGCAGCGTAAACAGGTTTTCAGAGAGATATACTGTACTGAATAAAAAACACTCTTTTCTCATCTGCCGGCAACTCTCACTCATTGCACGGTGTCAGGAACCTAAGCGCCGTATAAACGGGGCCATCCTGTAATTGCAAAGCGCCACATTAATGAGGTATGCCTGCACAGTAAGTCCTCACTTAACTCTTCGTTTGGTTATAATGTTGATGAGAAGAAAAAGAATGGATTCCTGGGGAGGACCACCGTCTGTGTGGAGTTTTCAGGCTGAGTTTTTAAACTGCTGGTAGGTGTTGTTACTTACAATTTTCACTTTGCAAACATTTACAGTTGTACCTTGAATTTCGGCCATAATTCATTCCAGAGGCTGTTTGAATGCTGTTACTGAATGAATTTTTTCCCACAAGGAATAATGTAAATTAGATTAATCCGTTTCAGGCCCCCAAAAATACACTTACAAAAGCACTTACAAAAATACACTTATATAACTGTTCAAGTTGGGAGATGTTCAAAATTCGAGGTACCACTTTATTTCTTGATTTAACTCTGTTGCACTGAGTGGTAAAGGTGCGCTGAGCACCCCTCATGTTGATATCAATTAGCCCATTATAAAATCGGTTCCATTATACGTTATTTCCCTTAAAGTCGCAGTTTCCAAGAACTTATCGATGACACTGAGGACTTACCATACATTTACACTGTACGTCACTTACCATCAGTGACAACTAACTGACCTGTGTAACATTAAGAGGTATTATGTACATGTACGTCACTTACCGACAGTGACAACTAACTGACCTGTGTAACATTAAGAGGTATTATGTACATGTACGTCACTTACCGACAGTGACAACTAACTGACCTGTGTAACATTAAGAGGTATTATGTACATGTACGTCACTTACCGACAGTGACAACTAACTGACCTGTGTAACATTAAGAGGTATTATGTACATGTACGTCACTTACCGACAGTGACAACTAACTCACCTGTGTAACATTAAGAGGTATTATGTACATGTACGTTACTTACCGACAGTGACAACTAACTCACCTGTGTAACATTAAGAGGTATTATGTACATGTACGTCACTTACCGACAGTGACAACTAACTCACCTGTGTAACATTAAGAGGTATTATGTACATGTACGTCACTTACCGACAGTGACAACTAACTCACCTGTGTAACATTAAGAGGTATTATGTACATGTACGTCACTTACCGACAGTGACAACTAACTCACCTGTGTAACATTAAGAGGTATTATGTACATGTACGTCACTTACCGACAGTGACAACTAACTCACCTGTGTAACATTAAGAGGTATTATGTACATGTATGTCACTTACCGACAGTGACAACTAACTGACCTGTGTAACATTAAGAGGTATTATGTACATGTACGTCACTTACCGACAGTGACAACTAACTCACCTGTGTAACATTAAGAGGTATTATGTACATGTATGTCACTTACCAACAGTGACAACTAACTGACCTGTGTAACATTAAGAGGTATTATGTACATGTACGTCACTTACCGACAGTGACAACTAACTCACCTGTGTAACATTAAGAGGTATTATGTACATGTATGTCACTTACCGACAGTGACAACTAACTGACCTGTGTAACATTAAGAGGTATTATGTACATGTACGTCACTTACCGACAGTGACAACTAACTCACCTGTGTAACATTAAGAGGTATTATGTACATGTACGTCACTTACCGACAGTGACAACTAACTGACCTGTGTAACATTAAGAGGTATTATGTACATGTACGTCACTTACCGACAGTGACAACTAACTCACCTGTGTAACATTAAGAGGTATTATGTACATGTACGTCACTTACCGACAGTGACAACTAACTCACCTGTGTAACATTAAGAGGTATTATGTACATGTACGTCACTTACCGACAGTGACAACTAACTGACCTGTGTAACATTAAGAGGTATTATGTACATGTACGTCACTTACCGACAGTGACAACTACTGACCTGTGTAACATTAAGAGGTATTAGTACATGTACGTCACTTACCTACATGACAACTAACTGACCTGTGTAACATTAAGAGGTATTATGTACATGTACGTCACTTACCTACAGTGACAACTAACTGACCTGTGTAACATTAAGAGGTATTATGTACATGTACGTCACTTACCGACAGTGACAACTAACTGACCTGTGTAACATTAAGAGGTATTATGTACATGTACAGTCACTTACCGACAGTAACAACTAACTCACCTGTGTATGTGTAATGTTAAGAGGATGAGGCAGGAAGGAGTGTTGTCTGTTGAGAGGAAGGGCAGGTGGGTGTGTGTTGATGACTGTGGCAGTGGGCTGAGTGGCAGCAGGCGCACTACAACTGCCGCTCATGGTGGTGATGGAAAGAGGTGGCAGTGGCAGTGGCGGTGGCGGTGTGGCAGACCGCAGCACCGCTGAAGATCCAGTTGATGGCAGGTAACTCAATCCACACTCCAAGTTGTCATCCTCACCTCTGTCAGAAAAATGTCACACATTAACTATCATACATGCTCCTAAATTTACAAAATAGAGTAAGAGTAAAAAATTTTAATTTTAAACATGAAAATCATCTATTTCAAAATTTCATATACTGTACTGTAATTAGAATCAGCAAGCAGTATATAGTAATGTACAATTATGTATAGTTTGTTGTATATTCATTAGGTAGATGCCACACTCCTTACTATACATTATACACCTACCATCCGACTTACGACCAAGTTCGGTTCCGAGAAACCGGTCGTAAGTCGAAATGGTCGTAAGTCGAACTTTACTACTGAATATCAACAAAACATTTTTGTAATGGCTTTATTTTATTGTTTTATTTTGGTATTTCATGTTTTACTTTACTTTTTATGTTGTTAGTACTGTGTTTTATACTGTAAGGTTTAGCATAAACACTGTGTACAACACAAATACTGGTTTATTTCCCAGAAATTTAGCATAAAAAAACACGGTCGTAAGTCCAGTGGTTGTAAGTTGAGAAGGTCGTAAGTCGAGCAGGTCGTAAGTCGAGCAGGTCGTAAGTCGAGCAGGTAGTATGTCGGATGGCAGGTGTATTTCAAAATTTCATATACTGTACTGTAATTAGAATCAGCAAGCAGTATACAGTAATATAGAATTATGTATAGTGTGTTGTATATTCATTAGGTAGATGCCACACTCCTTACTATACATTATACTAATACAAGAGGCCCTGCTTGACAGTGTTTAGCTTGACAGTGTTTAGCTTGACAGTGTTAAGCTTGACAGTGTTAGCTTGACAGTGTTTAGCTTGACAGTGTTAAGCTTGACAGTGTTTAGCTTGACAGTGTTTAGCTTGACAGTGTTTAGCTTGACAGTGTTTTACTAATACAACAGTGTACAATTACAGCCGTTCTTCATTCATCCAGACTTACTACAATAAATATATTCACCACTCACTATATTTTAACCCTTAACCCGTAAATGGTCCAAGTAGATCTACGTTCACATGTGTAGTGCTACACAAGTACAGTGGACCCCCGCATAACGATCACCTCCGAATGCGACCAATTATGTAAGTGTATTTATGTAAGTGCGTTTGTACGTGTATGTTTGGGGGTCTGAAATGGACTAATCTACTTCACAATATTCCTTATGGGAACAAATTCGGTCAGTACTGGCACCTAAACATACTTCTGGAGTGAAAAAATATCGTTAACCGGGGGTCCACTGTATATACGTTTGGACCGTTTACGGGTTAAACTGTCCAAACGTAGATCTACGTTTTTTTACATAAACAATGTAAAATCGAACGTAGATCTACGTTCAGAGCGCTATGCATACAAACATAGGTCTACGTTTGGACAGTTTAAGGGTTAAGATAAGTAATGTGTGTACTGTATATGCATTTTTTAGGCCTAGCTCTATTGGTCACTTAATATATGATAGTGTATATATGTTATCAGACTTTTATATGCATTTGAATGTGGAAAAAGGCTGTTTCTTTACAGCAGTAACCTGGAACTTAACCTGCTGTATAAGCAGGTATCAGCACTCCTGTACAGCAGTAACCTGGAACTTAACCTGCTGTATAAGCAGGTATCAGCACTCCTGTACAGCAGTAACCTGGAACTTAACCTGCTGTATAAGCAGGTATCAGCACTCCTGTACAGCAGTAACCTGGAACTTAACCTGCTGTATAAGCAGGTATCAGCACTCCTGTACAGCAGTAACCTGGAACTTAACCTGCTGTATAAGCAGGTATCAGCACTCCTGTACAGCAGTAACCTGGAACTTAACCTGCTGTATAAGCAGGTATCAGCACTCCTGTACAGCAGTAACCTGGAACTTAACCTGCTGTATAAGCAGGTATCAGCACTCCTGTACAGCAGTAACCTGGAACTTAACCCACTGTATAAGCAGGTATCAGCACTCCTGTACAGCAGTAACCTGGAACTTAACCTACTGTATAAGCGTGGGCCCTCCTGTACAACAGTAGCCTGGAACCTAACCTACTGTATAAGCGTGGACCCTCCTGTACAACAGTAGCCTGGAACCAAACCTGCTGTATAAGCATGGGCCCTCCTGTACAACAGTAGCCTGGAACCAAACCTACTGTATAAGCGTGGGCCCTTCTGTACAACAATAGCCTGGAACCAAACCTACTGTATAAGCATGGGCCCTCCTGCACAACAGTAGCCTGGAACCAAACCTACTGTATAAGCGTGGGCCCTCCTGTACAACAGTAGCCTGGAACCAAACCTACTGTATAAGTGTGGGCCCTCCTGCACAACAGTAGTCTGGAACCAAACCTACTGTATAAGCGTGGGCCCTTCTGTACAACAATAGCCTGGAACCAAACCTACTGTATAAGCGTGGGCCCTCCTGTACAACAGTAGCCTGGAACCTAACCTGCTGTATAAGCATGGGCCCTCCTGCACAACAGTAGCCTGGAACCAAACCTACTGTATAAGCGTGGGCCCTTCTGTACAACAGTAGCCTGGAACCAAACCTACTGTATAAGCGTGGGCCCTTCTGTACAACAATAGCCTGGAACCAAACCTACTGTATAAGCGTGGGCCCTCCTGTACAACAGTAGCCTGGAACCTAACCTACTGTATAAGCAGGTCCTGCCTGTATAGACTATGTATACAGTACAGTTGGATAAACTATACAGTACATTATAGTAGCACAACAGTGGTACCTCGGGATACAAACATTATACAGTGGTACCTTGGGATACCAACATTATACAGTGGTACCTTGGGATACCAACAACTCAAAACTCGAACAATTATGTAAGTGTATTTATGCAAGTGCTTTCGTAAGTGTATTTTTTGGGGTCTGAAATGGATTAATCTAATTTACATTATTCCTTATGGGAACGAATTTGTTCGGTATCAGCACTCGAGCAACCTTCTGGAACGAATTAATTTCGTATCCCGAGGTACCACTGTATAAACTATACAATATAGCAGTATAGAATTACATGTACACATAAACTAAATACCAAACTCGTCAAACTACATCAAATTTTATTGGTGAAAGACTTTAAAAATTAATATATATATATATATACATGTACTGTAATGTAAAGGAGAGTCAAAACAATTTTTTACCAGTACAGAAATATTGCATCAAGAAAACACTATGAAATAAAACAGTGAAACACGTAAGGTAATAGTACAGTGGACCTCCGCTTTACGATCACCTCTCAATGCGACCAATCATGTAAGTGATTATGTAAGTGTATTTATGTAAGTGCGTTTGTACGTGTATGTTTGGGGGTCTGAAATGGACTAATCTAATTCACAATATTCCTTATGGGAACAAATTTGGTCAGTACTGGCACCTGAACATACTTCTGGATTGAAAAAATATCGTTAACCGGGGGTCCACTGTATATATATATTCTTCTTTTCAACAAACCGGTCATATACCACCAAGGCAGGGTGACCCATAAAGAAAAACAAAAGTTTCTCTTTTTAGCTTTAGTAATTTATACAGGAGAAGGGGTTACTACCCCCTTGCTCCTGGTATTTTAGTCGTCTCTTACAACACGCATGGCTTACGGAGGAAGAATTCTGTTCCACTTTCCCATGGAGATAAGAGGAAATAAACGAGAACAAGAACTAGAAAGAAAATAGAAGAAAACCCAGAGGGGTGTGTATATATATGCTTGTACATGTATGTGTAGTGTGACCTAAGTGTAAGTAGAAGTAGCAAGACGTACCTGAAACCTTGCATGTTTATGAGACAGAAAAAAGACACCAGCAATCCTACCATCATGTAAAACAATTACAGGCTTTCGTTTTACACTCACTTGGCAGGACAGTAGTACCTCCCTGGGCGGTTGCTGTCTACCAACCTACTACCACAGGAAAGTAGTACCTCCCTGGGTGGTTGCTGTCTACCATCCTACTACCACAGGAAAGTAGTACCTCCCTGGGTGGTTGCTGTCTACCAACCTTCTACCTAGAAGCACCTATTCATACATCTTGTTAAAATGTCAAGTTTATACTCACTAAATGCAGCTCTTCATATATCAATAAAAGTTTGTGCCAAATAAATAATTATTGAGATGAAAGGTTAGTCTTTGTACCTGAGTATTGTGGCAGTACTGGTCGTTACTTCTGGAAAGTCGTAGTCTACTAAAATCTCATCCAGATCCACAAAGTCGTCATCACTGGAGTCTTTCCTTGTTACTGATGGTTTTGTCTTCTCTTCTAGGGCTCTCATGACCTCCTCCAGTGGATCATACAGCTCCTCCAGGTGTGTCTGGTCACCTCCCATGACCTTCAGGTGTGCCTGCCCACCTCCCATGATCTCCAGGTGTGCCTGCCCACCTCCCATGACCTCCAGATGTGCCTGGTCACCTCCCATGACCTGCAGGTGTGCCTGCCCACCTCTCATGACCTCCAGGTGTACCTGGCCACTTCCCATGACCTCCACCAGTGGGTTATACAGCTTCTCCAGGTGTGCCTGGTCACTGCTCATGACCTCTGGGCATGCCTGGCCACCTTTTACTGCCTGGTTAATAATTTTAGATGTAAGTGGTTTAGAATAAACTCCTGGTTCTTCTTCTCTTGTCGATAACTGGCGACTTCTATGGTCACCCTTGTTCTGGGATTTACTTCGTGAATTTGTAGCAAGTTGACTCTCACCAGACACACAACAAGGTTTGTGTGCCTTGTTCATCTCCACTGTGGCTGGTGACAAGTTTCTCTTGCGTGACAAGTTGGGACTCCTCCTTGCAAGACTCTCCAAGGAGTCTTCTGCACCTACAGAAATAGGTCTTCCTGGCTCATCATATTCCAGTAGGTATTCCTTGACATCTGGTGCATTCTTCCCATCAGCTGCTTCTCTGATTCTTTCAACTGGTATGTAGAGTGCTGTGGGTCGGTCACGTCTAGCAATGTAGAGCTGTTCATAATTCTCTAATACTTCTCGCACTGATGGCCTCCTCTCGTTACAACACGAAGATGTCTCTCTCTCACCCTCATTAACATCTCTCTGCTTGTCTTCAGTATAAGCTCTGCTCTCTTTATTCTCCACCTGTTTCGTTAAGTTGTCTTCGTAAGCTGAGCTGTGAGGAAGAACCTCACTGTAATTCTGTTTATAATCTTTACATCTGTTGCAGTTGTTGCTGTTGTCTCTGCATTTACACTGCTGGCTGGTCTTAAATTTCTGCTTCTTGGCACCTCTCTTCCTGCCTGGCTGACCTCCAAATTCAAGAACTCTGGCATTTTTTTGTTTATCATCATTTGAAGTGATGCATGTTTGATGCTCCGCTGGAGTGATGTTTACACTTCTTAAAACACGAAATGAGCGATTCCTCTCAACTGCTTTAGTGGACTCTGTGAGAAGTCCGGAAAACCTGCACATTCCCCGGGCATTTTCATTGTTATTCTGTGGCTGCTTCCTGCTATTGTTGAGTTTCATTATGTCGAGGACTTTTGTGTCATGTACCAGCTTTGGTGCTAAAGATGGGGTTGAAACATGCTGGAGTGGCTCTCTAGAGTAGCTGTCATCAACATCCACATTATTATCTTGGCGCTTCCTAACTTGTATTCCCTCGGGTCTTCGGAAGAACCGGAACGAAGATGAGAGCGAGTCTTTCTGCTTTGAGGATTTCTTCCTCAGAGCTTCTCTGGGAAGGTTGTTGTGATGCAGCAGAGCACCATGTGAGGACACTGACGGATCTCTCATACTTCCTGGCTGGCGTCCACCCACAACTATATCCTCTGTGGCACTGTTCGGTCTCCTTATATTTACAAGTGCTGGGGGATCCAAGCATGCATTCACTGTGTTGTTTGTGTGGCACAAGTCAGAGTTGGTGCCCATACCAGCACAGTTACGTCTCTCTCTAACACTGTTACTCCTCAGGAGCTTTCTTAATCCCTGGTTCTTGGTCTTGCTGCTGCTGCTGCTGCTACTGATAGGCACATCTTGTCCAGAACGTGTGTAGGTGTGTGAGTTTCCCTTCACTTTCTTGCTGTTAGCTTCAAGGGTCCTGTTAGGAGTGTACGACACTGAATTACTGCTACTCTGACTCAATGTAGTACTCCTGTTGCTGCTTCTGTTACTGCTCCTGTTACTGCTAGCCAGACTGAGGCGAGCAGCAGTATTGCGGTGGAAAACGTAGGGCTCTCCACACGCATGACTGTCCCTGAGCTCTCCATGGAAGGAGACGGAACTGGACGGAGGCGAAGCCCTGGCAGACTTGCTGACAGACAAGTATGGCAATACTGGAGTACTGACACATGTGCTGCTGTTGGGTGAGCACCTGTTGTTGCCTCTGCCACCTGTTCTCACCACTGGCTGCAACAGGTGACTGGTGGAGTGAAGGAGTATTGGAGTGCTGATGGAGGAACCTGGAGGCTCTACTTCACCATCACCTCCACCAGTGTGTGTCTTCTTCACTCCTGAGACAGGTGCGGTGGTAGCGCCTTTCCGCAGCCTCAGTAGCCATTCTGGCACCTTCATCTAAGACAGCTGGCCAGACACCTCGCACAGGTGGCCAGACACCCCGCACAGCTGGTCTTGGATGATACGTCAGGGAACATCAACCAGCTGCTGCTGCTGGTCATACAAGTGCAGCAAGAAAGAAATACTGACGTATGGTGGCAGAGATGGTGTCTCCTGACACAGATGGTGGCACCAGTGGCCCAATAGAGGGCCAGGGCCAAGCCACCACTGGTAAGACTCAAGTGGTGAAGAGTTTCAAGGTGTTCCCTGACAGGTGGTCACCATCCACCACTTATCTACCATCTGACCAGTTACCATTATTATTATCTCCTCGGCTCTGGTGTACACACCTTCCTGACGCCTCAACTCCATCATAACACTCGCTAATACAACAACTCTCCATCACACTCACATCTCGTAGTTTCTGTAGCACAAGCACATAGTCCAACACAATCACTATAAAAGGTACATCACAAACACTATAAAAGGTACATCACAAACACTATAAAAGGTACATCACAAACACTATAAAAGGTACATCACAAACACTATAAAAGGTACATCACAATCACTATAAAAGGTACAACACGAGGACTTTTAAGAGTTCAAGTCATGCCATTGACTTTCCACATTCCTTACACACTTTTTCCTTAAGATTCTTCCTGTATTTACGTCAGTACCAAAGCTTAAAACAGTGTTCACCTTAATATGTGTAAAATCACTTGCTGTAAGAAGAGACGAAGCTTTGAAGGAACGATAGACACAACTTATGAGTATAATGATAGACGGTCTAACGTGATTCTCTCACTGGTTCCAACACTTGGGGCCAAGACTTTCCAATACACTTATTTTATATATAACTCATTACCAAGAGACTGGTGACCGTCTTTAAGAAGGAACTTGATAAGTTCCTCAAGTTCCTAATCAGCTGCGTTGTGACGCATCTATACACTGAATTACCAGCGGCTAATACTAACAACTTCATTGATTACGCCAACAGGGAGGCCTGATCTGGGACCTGGCTGCAGGGGGGCGGTGCCCCCAGAACCCCCTTCACATAACCTATGATCACTGCACCATCTACCCACCCACCATCTAGCCACCTACTCACTCACCCACCACCTACCCACCCACCATCTACATACCCACCTGTAGTCTGCCTCAAGTGTGTTCCAAGGGTCAATGCCCCCACGGCCTACTCTCCCAGCGAATGGGCTGATCAATCAAGCTGTTGGTGCTAGCTGCATGAAGTCAACGTATGCACCACAGTCCAGCTAATCAGAAGCTGACTTGAGGAACTTAAAGGTTTCCTCCTAACGTGAACCAGGACGACTGTTGAATTGTCTCAGTGTACTCAATAGGTTGGATAAATACATGAGTGGGTGTGGGTGGGTGTGGGTGGGTGTGGGTGGGTGTGAGTTGGACCTGATAGCTTGTGCTACCAGGTCGGCTGCCGTGTTCCTCCCTTAAGTCAATGTGACCTGACCTGACTAGGTTGGGTGCATTGGCTTAAGCCGGTAGGAGACTTGGACCTGCCTCGCATGGGCCAGTAGACCTGCTGCAGTGTTCCTTCGTTTTTATGAACTATTGTACACCATCTGCCGAGTCTTACACTCGCAGGGAGTAATTTATGTCTGGGTAACTGGTACGAACTCCTCTAATATCACCCACGTGCATATTATAATTTATCTTTCTCTCCTACGTCCCAGGGAGTACAGATCGTGCGACTTTAAAGGTTCCAAATAAGTCCTTGAATACTATAAATCACCAATCACCAATCACCACCATAAACCCCCCAAAAAAACACCAGCTACCTTCACTAATCACCACCACAACCACTACTACCACAGCCACCTTCACTAATCACCACCACAACCACTACTACCACAGCCACCTTCACTAATCACCACCACAACCACTACTACCACAGCCACCTTCACTAATCACCACCACAACCACTACTACCACAGCCACCTTCACTAATCACCACCACAACCACTACTACCACGGCCACCTTCACTAATCACCACCACAACCACTAGCACTACTACCACAGCCACCTTCACTAATCACCACCACAACCACTACTACCACAGCCACCTTCACTAATCACCACCACAACCACTACTACCACAGCCACCTTCACTAATCACCACCACAACCACTACTACCACAGCCACCTTCACTAATCACCACCACAACCACTACTACCACAGCCACCTTCACTAATCACCACCACAACCACTACTACCACGGCCACCTTCACTAATCACCACCACAACCACTAGCACTACTACCACAGCCACCTTCACTAATCACCACCACAACCACTACTACCACAGCCACTTCACTAATCACCACCACAACCACTACTACCACAGCCACCTTCACTAATCACCACCACAACCACTAGCACTACTACCACAGCCACCTTCACTAATCACCACCACAACCACTACTACCACAGCCACCTTCACTAATCACCACCACAACCACTACTACCACGGCCACCTTCACTAATCACCACCACAACCACTACTACCACAGCCACCTTCACTAATCACCACCACAACCACTACTACCACAGCCACCTTCACTAATCACCACCACAACCACTACTACCACAGCCACCTTCACTAATCACCACACAACCACTACTACCACAGCCACCTTCACTAATCACCACCACAACACTACTACCACAGCCACCTTCACTAATCACCACCACAACCACTACTACCACAGCCACCTTCACTAATCACCACCACAACCACTAGCACTACTACCACAGCCACCTTCACTAATCACCACCACAACCACTAGCACTACTACCACAGCCACCTTCACTAATCACCACCACAACCACTACTACCACAGCCACCTTCACTAATCACCACCACAACCACTACTACCACAGCCACCTTCACTAATCACCACCACAACCACTACTACCACAGCCACCTTCACTAATCACACCACAACCACTACTACCACAGCCACCTTCACTAATCACCACCACAACCACTACTACCACAGCCACCTTCACTAATCACCACCACAACCACTAGCACTACTACCACAGCCACCTTCACTAATCAACCACCACAACCACTAGCACTACTACCACAGCCACCTTCACTAATCACCACCACAACCACTAGCACTACTACCACAGCACCTTCACTAATCACCACCACCACGTCAAGCCACCAACACCTGCTAAATAAATCCCTTCTCACACTACACAAACACCCTCAACCTCAATCACAATCTACCACACAAATCCACAACCCCAAAACCCCAGGAAACGTGGGAAACTGGTCCAGAATCCGCAATATTTACAATATAAATGGCGCGAAAAACTTGCCAAATACCGCTAGACACATTATGAAAAAGCGCGCGAAATACTTGCCAAATATCACCAGACTCAGACGTTACAACAAATACCATATATAGTGAAGACCCACTGGAGTCCCATTCTGTGTCCCTTAGCTCCCCCTTGCTACACACTAAGGGGTTAAATGGGTGAATGAAGGGGTAAGAGGTTAAATGGGTGAATGAAGGGGTAAGAGGTTAAATGGGTGAATGAAGGGGTAAGAGGTTAAATGGGTGAATGAAGGGGTAAGAGGTTAAATGGGTGAATGAAGGGTAAGAGGTTAAATGGGTGAATGAAGGGTAAGAGGTTAAATGGGTGAATGAAGGGGTAAGAGGTTAAATGGGTGAATGAAGGGTAAGAGGTTAAATGGGTGAATGAAGGGGTAAGAGGTTAAATGGGTGAATGAAGGGGTAAGAGGTTAAATGGAAATGGTGAGAGAATAGCAAAAAATAAGCTATAATAATATTATTGGTAGTAATAGCAATGTTATATTGTTCCAGAACTGTTGTTCCAGCAGTGTTATTGTGGTCTCAGGACAGTTACTGTTCTTCCAGAACTGTTGTTCCAGTACTGCTGCTGTTCCAGCAGTGTTATTGTGGTCTCAGGACAGTTACTGTTGTTCCAGAACCGTTATTCCAGTACTGCTGCAGTTCCAGCAGTGTTATTGTGGTCTCAGGACAGTTACTGTTGTTCCAGAACTGTTGTTCCAGTACTGCTGCTGTTCCAGTACTGCTGTTGTTCCAGTACTGCTGCTGTTCCAGCAGTGTTATTGTGGTCTCAGGACAGTTACTGTTGTTCCAGAACTGTTGTTCCAGTACTGCTGCTGTTCCAGTACTGCTGCTGTTCCAGTACTGCTGCTGTTCCAGTACTGCTGCTGTTCCAGCAGTGTTATTGTGGTCTCAGGACAGTTACTGTTGTTCCAGAACTGTTGTTCCAGTACTGCTGCTGTTCCAGCAGTGTTATTGTGGTCTCAGGACAGTTACTGTTGTTCCAGTACTGCTGCTGTTCCAGCAGTGTTATTGTGGTCTCAGGACAGTTACTGTTGTTCCAGAACCGTTGTTCCAGTACTGCTGCTGTTCCAGCAGTGTTATTGTGGTCTCAGGACAGTTACTGTTGTTCCAGAACCGTTGTTCCAGTACTGCTGCTGTTCCAGCAGTGTTATTGTGGTCTCAGGACAGTTACTGTTGTTCCAGAACCGTTGTTCCAGTACTGCTGCTGTTCCAGCAGTGTTATTGTGGTCTCAGGACAGTTACTGTTGTTCCAGAACCGTTGTTCCAGTACTGCTGCTGTTCCAGCAGTGTTATTGTGGTCTCAGGACAGTTACTGTTGTTCCAGAACCGTTGTTCCAGTACTGCTGCTGTTCCAGCAGTGTTATTGTGGTCTCAGGACAGTTACTGTTGTTCCAGAACCGTTGTTCCAGCACTGCTACTGTTCCAGCAGTGTTATTGTGGTCTCAGGACAGTTACTGTTGTTCCAGAACCGTTGTTCCAGTACTGCTACTGTTCCAGCAGTGTTATTGTGGTCTCAGGACAGTTACTGTTGTTCCAGAACCGTTGTTCCAGTACTGTTCCAGCACTGCTACTGTTCCAGCAGTGTTGTGGTCTCAGGACAGTTACTGTTGTTCCAGAACTGTTGTTCCAGTACTGCTGCTGTTCCAGCAGTGTTATTGTGGTCTCAGGACAGTTACTGTTGTTCCAGAACCGTTGTTCCAGTACTGCTGCTGTTCCAGTACTGCTACTGTTCCAGTGTTATTGTGGTCTCATGACAGTTACTGTTGTTCCAGAACTGTTGTTCCAGTACTGCTGCTGTTCCAGAACTGCTACTGTTCCAGCAGTGTTGTGGTCTCAGGACAGTTACTGTTGTTCCAGAACTGTTGTTCCAGTACTGCTGCTGTTCCAGCAGTGTTATTGTGGTCTCAGGACAGTTACTGTTGTTCCAGAACTGTTGTTCCAGTACTGCTGCTGTTCCAGTACTGCTGCTGTTCCAGCAGTGTTATTGTGGTCTCAGGACAGTTACTGTTGTTCCAGAACCGTTGTTCCAGTACTGCTGCTGTTCCAGTACTGCTACTGTTCCAGCAGTGTTATTGTGGTCTCAGGACAGTTACTGTTGTTCCAGAACTGTTGTTCCAGTACTGCTGCTGTTCCAGTACTGCTGCTGTTCCAGCAGTGTTATTGTGGTCTCAGGACAGTTACTGTTGTTCCAGAACTGTTGTTCCAGTACTGCTGCTGTTCCAGCAGTGTTATTGTGGTCTCAGGACAGTTACTGTTGTTCCAGAACTGTTGTTCCAGTACTGCTGCTGTTCCAGCAGTGTTATTGTGGTCTCAGGACAGTTACTGTTGTTCCAGAACCGTTGTTCCAGTACTGTTACTGTTCCAGCAGTGTTATTGTGGTCTCAGGACAGTTACTGTTGTTCCAGAACCGTTGTTCCAGTACTGCTGCTGTTCAAGCACTGCTACTGTTCCAGCAATGTTGTGGTCTCAGGACAGTTACTGTTGTTCCAGAACTGTTGTTCCAGTACTGCTGCTGTTCCAGCACTGCTACTGTTCCAGCAGTTATTGTGGTCTCAGGACAGTTACTGTTGTTCCAGAATTGTTCCAGTACTGCTGCTGTCCCAGTACTGCTGCTGTTCCAGTACTGCTGCTGTTCCAGCACTGCTGCTGTTCCAGTACTGCTGCTCTTCCAGTACTGCTGCTGTTCCAGTACTGCTACTGTTCCAGCAGTGTTATTGTGGTCTCAGGACAGTTACTGTTGTTCCAGAACTGTTGTTCCAGTACTGCTGCTGTTCCAGTACTGCTGCTGTTCCAGTACTGCTGCTGTTCCAGTACTGCTGCTGTTCCAGCACTGCTGCTGTTCCAGTACTGCTGCTCTTCCAGTACTGCTGCTGTTCCAGTACTGCTACTGTTCCAGCAGTGTTATTGTGGTCTCAGGACAGTTACTGTTGTTCCAGAACTGTTGTTCCAGTACTGCTGCTGTTCCAGTACT